CTGATATCATACACTGAAGAAAAAAAGCTAAATTAATAAATAAATAAGGTAGTGAGGGTGCTAGAAAAAAAAAAACATTAATATGGCGGTATTCTGTAATGAACAAAAAGTGTAAAAATTGTGGAAATTACAGCAAATATCTGTTAAATAATATTTCTGCGGATTTAAATAGAATAAAAAATTGTTTTAAAAAAGTTCTGGCCGCATGTTGTTAAAAAAAACAACTACGATTTATGAAAATACAGATTTTTATTGTGAACATTGTTTACAGTTTAGACCTGTTTTGTTTCTTGTTTTTATTTTGTTGTTGTTTTTGCAGTTTACATATTAGACTGTAGTTTTTTTCCTGTATTTTTTACAAGATATTATCTGTAATAGGAAAAATCTGTGAAAAAAAATCTGTAAAATAATAAATTACACAAATAATAATGAAAGTAAAAAAATAATATCTCTAATATACATATTTATTCTTTCAAATTATGTCAACTCTCTGTACGTATATAGTATATATGTTGTGTATAATATTTTGTGCTGATTACCATTTATAAAATCACAGATTTTTGATGTAGACACTATTTACAGTTTTGCCCTGTTTTTGTTTTTTGTTGGTTTTATTTTTTCTTTTACAGACAGCATGTAAATTAATACTTTTTTTCTGTGATTTTACTAGATATTAGCTGTAATTTAGCAAAACTGGGAAAACAGTAAAATAAAAGTAAATTGTTATAAAATTAGTCTTTTCACACTTTCAGTTTTTGTCTGTATTTTTTATTTTTTTTGGTTAATCACTGATGAACAAACACAGAAAACCGCTCTCAGGTTACGATGATTTAACTGAAACACTCACCAACAGAACGGTGATGCGAGAAAAGCCAGTATCCATGGAGATAAATTCCATTCCTTTAAACGTATGTCAGCGAGGTTCCGTACAAATGTGTGTGTGTATTTATATATATCTAAGTATAAATGTGTTTATGTGTAAATGTGATGCATCTCTGAAGCATCTCTGCATCTTTGTCTCTGCAGTTTGTGCAGCTGCGCAGCTCGAGCAGCCAAACCAAGAACTTTGCCAAAGCTGTGGTCAACACTGCAGATACGGTGAGTGTTGGTGGGAAAATCATCCGTCTCCTGCTAAACTCTGGACTCACACGCTGCCACTCGTACAGTGTTGTGTTGTGTTGTGTTGTGTTCTCATCTCCACATTTGGAGGTGATTAATTCCAGATATTCCTTCACGTGTCACGCCAACAAAGCAGCACTGACGGGCATTTTGTGGTTCCCCAGATCTATCAGGAACAGCTGAACACGAGGATCGTGCTGGTTGCCATGGAGACCTGGAACTCTAAAAATATGATGCCGGTAGTGGAGGACCCATTGATAACGCTGCAGAACTTCATGAAGTACAGGAAGGACAACATCCGAGAGCAGAGCGATGTCGTCCACCTTTTCTCGTAAGAAAACCAGAAAAGAAAAAAAAAAAAGATATTTGGATTCACGTTGAGAGTTTTTATTTTTAATTTTTGGCGTTTTGTGCATCTTCAGAGGGCGAACGTTTCACAGCAGCCGCAGTGGGACGGCGTATACAGGTGGAGTTTGTTCTCCAACAAGAGGAGGAGGAATCAATGAGGTGAGGCGACACCTGGACAGGGAACATCACATTCAGCTGTCT